GCACAGCAACCATGTCCCAGGTTCCTGGCATGAACTGGCTCTTAATAGGACCTCAATAAATGCTAAATGAATAAACAAGTAAATGAATGGTGTGAAAAGAGAGGCTAGAGTTCTAGTTCTGCCACTTGCCAGCAAAGAATCCCAAACCAGTTATTTTGGGCCTGTCTGGGGCCTCCCCAGGGAGGTGAGAGTAATAACATCCACCTCTCAGGGTTGTTGTATGAAATGAGATAACGTACATGAGAGTGTTATATAAACTGTGTAATACTTTACAAATGGTCGGGGGGCTGACTCACTCAAACCTGTGCCGTTAGCAAATAGCAGAAATACAGATTGGGCTTGGGGGCTAAGGAAGAAAAGGATTTTTGTTTTACCAAATACATGAAAGCTAGAATATGGTGAGCAGATTTGTTCTCTCCAGGTGCTCCAGCCACCTTGATTCCACAGGGGGGCTTCAGGCCCTTGACCCAAAGCATGCTCAGTGGATTCTTCCCACCTGACTTCTCTTAATCCAGGATTAAGACCTCCTGATTTGGGCAGAGCCTTTTTGGAGTTGTCACTTTAATTCATTTTGGCATTTTATCTGGTTCCCTTTCATTAGTGGAACAGCCAGAGTCCTGAGGTTGCACGCTCTCTCCAGGCTCCTTGGGGAGAATTATAGTCACTAAGGTCTTGGTTGTCTAAGAACTACAGCTTGGCTCTTTCCTGGCAGCTGGTCTCTGACCACAGGACACAACTCAGGTGTAACAGTGACTCCCTTGTAGCAGACACCCATCAAAAGCAAAGCAGCCAAACTAGTCCTGACCTGTGAAGCTGTCTGGCCCCCACCCTGGATTTTATCAATGACACCAACTTCTCTCTGGACTAGCAATTGAGTCCAAGAGGCAATTGGAATGGCTAAATGCAAAGAGGCTTAGGAATAAATCTTTCTTTCACTGTTGTATAGTTTATTTCCAAATATTGTATTTCTTACAAAGTCAATTTTTAAATATCATAAACTTTTCAAAGAAAAGATGATTTTTTTTTTCCCCACATCCCTACCATCCTCCCCCGCACAGTGAAGAAGGAAGGGGAACTGATCTGGGATCAGAAGGCCTGGGTTCCAGTTCTCTGCTAGCTCCTAGTTTGTATGGCTGGGACTAGTCATTTAATTTTCTCAACTACCAGATGGATTATTAGCATCCACTGATTCTACTTCTCAGGGTTCAAATGAGATAAAATCCTTCTTGGCAATTTTCAGAGACTTACTTGCCTGGAAGAGTGCAGGTTGCCTCTGTATATCTGCTGGATGTCCCTCTATAGCTGAGAAAAAAACATGTCTCAGTAAGCAGGGGATGAGGGAGGTAGAGAGAGGAGATCAGGGGGTTTTCAAGGTTGGGTTAGTGTCCCTGTTGGCTCCCACTCACTTGGTAAAACTGTGGCACTTGTGTCGATTCCCTGATTCCCTGTATCTCTCCCTGCACGTCAGACAATTCAACTAAGAGCGTCAGACTGCTCCCTTTACATCTCTGCTGGGGACTTGACAGGGAGGAGGGAATAGGAAGAGGGCTCCCTATTTAGAAATTTGCATTGAGATGGAAAGACAATATGACACATCGGCTCATGTCAAAGGAGCTCACTCTTCACGCCTACGGCATTAGCAATTTCCTACCAAGGTTCAATTTTTTTTAAAAAAATTATTATTTGGTTTTAATTTATTTTAGTTGCAGCATAATGCAACAAGACAGTGCTAGTCAGAGCAGGGTGGGTGCCTGCCCAAGGGCAGAGACTTAGGGGTGGGTGGGCAGAAACATGAACTTTTGTTGAGGAGAGGAGAGCATAGGGGTGGGAGCCCCCTGATTTCTGCCTTCAACCTTCGTATCCCACACCACTTCGGTCCCCTTATCTTTTTCTGAGCAATCTGACCTGAAGGCCCCAGACTCAGGATGTTCCAGCCATAGCTGTATGAGCAGTGGGGGAGGGGAAGACAAAAGTGATTTGGACATGGGTAAAACCATCCCTTCTAGAGTGTTATTGCTGGAAGCAGCTTCAAAGAGGTCCTAATTCAACTTCAGATAAGGACACTGACCTTATCTTACAGAACATGCAAAGTTCTCATGGCTAGTATGGTGCATGGGTCCTACATCCCTGGACATTGGCTATCTAATACCCTTTTTTGGCCCTATCCCATATTGCCTTCTCTCCTGCCCCTACTCCAAATCCAAACACAGAATGGTCTTTCTCTAGAGATAAGGTTGAAGGGACAACTCCACTTATTCCTACTTTTCTTCCTTTTCTGTATTTGGGTGGGATGTGGGGAGTCTGAATTTTGTCTCTTCACTGGGAAGAAGCATAGATGTGTTTGGGGTTTGGACTTGTGGGGAAAAGGGTTCTGGAGAGAAAAAGTTCCCATCTTTACATAAGGATTTTTTCTGCTTTGTGTCTGGTTATGTGACCATCACCGTATCAGCAACTGCTGTGGAGGGGCAGGTTGAAGAAGACAACTAGGGTGAGGCTTTATAATGTAAGAAAAATGTTTTTAATATCACTTCCTGAATATATGTCCCTTTGTAAGTGCAATGGTCTCTGTTTCTGTTCTCTCTGTCTTCTGYGATCTCTCTATGTATCTCTCTCATTCTCTGCCCCTCTGTGTCTGTCTTTCTCTGGTCTCTGCCTCTGTTTTATTCTCTCTGCAGCTCTCAAATACTCTCACTTCTGCACTCCAAATTCAATAGGAGCCAGGGAGCTCCAGCCTCTTGCTGTATCCCTGTCAGGTCAGAATCTCCTTCTCTTTGTTAGGTTGAGAAATGCCAGGTCCGGAGCTGCTGCCGAGAGCACCAGAGAGGCTGCAGAACCGCCTGCCGAGTGTGGAGGCTGAATCCGGGAACAATGAGAAATTATCTGTTAATTCTCAGCTCCTGCCACCTGCTCTGCTCCAAACAGGCTCCTTTGCCTTCAGTTTAGATGCAAATTCCCCTACTCGGATGTAAGCAAAATATTGATTTCCCTGCATCACAGGCCTGGGCCCTTGGACCGGTCCTGTTTTTTTTTTCATTCTCTGCAAAGGCAAAACAAGGCGCTTTGTTCTGCGAATTTCCCCTGGAACTCGAGAGGGGGAGGGAGACATCGCCGCGGAGTGACAGAGTTGCCATAAACACGGGCAGAGAGCAGTTTATCTCCATTTGTGTTTTACATAAACACAAACCCGCCGCTTTGGAAACTGCTAATGAGCGTGTAGCCAGGGACCTGCGAGCTCCTGTCTCTTCCTGGTGYTGAGGTCTGCATTGGGTGGAGGAGAAGGTTATGGGGCCTCCGGGCTCCTCAGGTGGGATTTCAGAAGCACCGGAAGGTGAATGGAGACGCTAGAACCTTACCTGTTCTTGGAAGAGCAACCCAGCACCACCCGCAGGAAGGTGGCCTGGACTGCATAGTATCGCCTGGATCGTGTTTGCTCAGTACCTCCTGCTCAGTTCCTAAATCTTTCAAATCACAAACGCCAGGGGTCAGGGTGGAAACTACGACAGTTCCCCACCCCACCCCACCCCCCGCCAAGCGCCCTTCCCCCTCCCCTAGCCCGTGTCCAGGCAGTATTTCTTCAGCACCGTGGACAGAGCCAGGAACGTCCCGGGCTGAAAGACCGCAGAACTAGGCCAGGGTGCTCTCAGGCTGCCGCCTGGTCCTCGGTACCCGGGGCACTAGCTGCCCCGGGCTGCTCGCAAGTGCAAGGACCGGGTGGCTCTTCTAGCGCAGATGGTGCACGGTAGAGACCGCCAGGAGCTGGGGCTCGGAATCTCCTCCCTCCGGAACGTGAGTCACCTCCCGAGCCACTTCCAATTAGAGTGTTAATTAGGAGGAAAGACCCTCCTCCACCACCGCCCACCCGAGCACGCACCAGCCCCGAGACTTCCGGAGGCTCCAGCTAAAGTTTCCGTCCCAGCTCGGGGAAGGAGCTTTGGGTGAGTCCTACGTGGAGAGGGGCCGCACCGCGGACAGGTAGAGGACAGAGACTCCAGTGACTGGGCTCTGCAGGGTCCTAATCCGCTGACCGCCATGGTGCACACATTTCTAGCACTGAGTGAGGCACCTCAAAGCCCCCCAGACAACCTGTTCCTGGGCCTCACTCCACAGTTCCTGAGAGTTCTGTTTTTTAAGTCTAGCCTCAATCCCACGGTTTAATTTTCAGTCCTTCGGGTCCTTGTTATACTTAATTGAAAAAGACACATTGTTTCTGGTGGGGTGGCACCTGATCAGGGAGGTGAGTCTGGCGGGAATAGGGCACCCTCTTGAAATGCCCCCCATTCCTATTCGCCAGAAACTTTCCCCTCCCGTTGCCATGGAGAGAGACGGCCGCTGTCTCCCGTCGCCATAGCAACGTGCGGGTACTGTGGACCGCAGGATTGCGGGGCTCAGAAAGTCTTCTGGCAGTTTGCATCGCTCCGCAATCTTGGGGTCTTCTATCTCCGAAGATGGGACTTGAAGCAAGTCTGACTAACTTCTCTTGTCAAGGTCCTCCCACTCACAGCCAGGTCATCTATTATGGGGTTATCTATTAGCTGCCACTTGTGTGGCATGTGGCTATTTACCCAGCGTTTCCACAAGCACTATCTTTATATCCCAGGGGGCCCATGAAACACTCATAATCATTATACCTTCTTTACGGGAGAAAAAAATTGAGGCTCAGAGAGGACCAAGGTCACAACCGATACTGAATGCGGAGAGGGATTCGGGCTCTTTCCCTGGTCTTGCCACCCCCTCAAGGTGCGGAATAACGGGGCTGGAACCAGCCCGGACTCAGGCCAGTCCCTGAGTGTAGAGGGGGCGGCCAGGAGGCGCCAGACTTGCCAGCTGCCGCGGGATGCCACGTGAGGGGCGGGGACCCTGCGGGGAAGTGATTAAAAGCAGAACGGAGCCGCAGGGGGCCGCTGCGGGGAGGGTCTTCTTGGGGCCGCCTTGCCCCGCCCCAGTCCCGCAGCAGCTGTGAGGGTTCGAGAGGCTGCTCTGCAGGCCTGGGTGTCCAGGGCATGAGCGGGGTGTGGGGGGCCGGAGGGCCTCGGTGCCAGGCGGCGCTCGCGGTCCTGGCCTCACTGTGCCGGGCCCGGCCGCCTCCTCTTGGGCTGGACGTAGAGACTTGTCGGAGCTTCGAACTGCAGCCCCCAGAGAGGAGTCCGAGCGCTGCCGACGCAGGTAACGGGAGACCCAGGACCCCCTACCTTCTTGGATTCTCATCTTGGCCGTCCCCATGCCCCAAACACTCGCCCCAATAGCCGGGAAGATGGAGCGAGAACTCCAGCCTGGGCTTCTGGATTGGCCACCAGCCTCACACCGTCCCCTGGCCCATCTCCTGCAGGGCAGGGAGAGATCTGAAGGGAATCGGGAGTCACAGAACCCCCTGCCCCTCTCGAGTGACTATTGTGGGGGCCCAGCGGAAAGCTCCACGCAGACGACACCCTCGGGGCCTCAGTTTCCCTCGCGTTTCTGGGCTCGCCCTACAGGCTATCTGCCGGGGGAGGGGTTAGTGGATCCAACAGGAGCCRAGGGACGTACTGGCCACCGAAAAAGCTTGTCCCCTTTGGAAGTGTCCAGGTGCTAGAGTTCATCAGTTGATCTGACCGTCCGTTGTTCTCTCGGTAAACGCCGAGCCCCCTGGGTTAGGGAGAAACTTGGGTCTGCGGCTGGCACGAGGTCTTTGTGTCCGGGTGTCTCTCGCGCTGCTAGTGGCTTTCTGCGTCTCCGATGGGGGGCGGGGGTCCGGGAGGCGGAGTGGGGGAGGCTGTCGCGGCGTCCTCCCCCCACACCCCCCTCGCCCCTATAACTCGCTCCCTCGGTCTCCCTCTGACTCACTCGGACTCCCGGCGGGTGCGCGACTGAGCCGGTGCCTCTCGCCGACTTTGCCAAGAGGGCGCCTCCTGCCCAAGCCTCGCGGACTCTGCGCCCGACGCAGCCCCGGGCGGCCGCCGAGTGCAGGCGGGAGCCCGAGTCGAGTCGAGCTCGCCGGAGCCGGTGAGTCCCGAGCCCGAGCCCCGCGGGGCCGGGGCCCGGAGTGCAGCTGCGACGTCTCGCAGGAGTCGCGACAGCGGGAATGGCTTGTCGCGCCCTGGCGGCGGGAGCCGCAGAAGGATCGGCGGTGTGACCGGGGGCTGGCCCTGGGTATTTACCTGCTGCACCAGTGCCCTGCGGTCACGCTTGCCGGCTGCAGTGGGGTTTCTTTGTCCCGTTGCKTGGAGAGTGCCGGTGGGAGGATGTACAGGGTCGCGTCCCCTCCGGAGGACCGGCTGGGAAGAATGCGGAGTGGGGGTGGGGAGATCCTGCAGGGACCAAGGCGCTGGGGTTCCTTGGGACTCCGCAGACTCCATCTCTCCTTGTCCCTCCASCCCCCACCCCATTGGCGCTGGGCCAAGGGATATGCGGGAGTCTCCCGGTGGCTCCACACCGCTGGCATGGGAGAGGAGGTTTAGGGGGTCGCTAGAAGTGGGCATTTAGTCTTCCATCCGCTTCTCCAGGGACAAGAGGCCAGGGTCGGAAGTGGAGGTTCCACAAGCAGGTACAGGTGGGGTAAGCTCCCCAGGGATGCAGGCTCCAGAGCCCTAGTTTCATTTGAGGTTAAGGGTGGGAAATAGAGGAGTATTCCGCGTTAGAAATAGAGCTAAGGGGAGGCTTGTGTATGTGTGACTGGTCTATATCCAGCCTTTTGGTGATTTGGAGCTCACCTCTGACCTGTATGAGTTGTAGGGGTCCCTGCGCTAGCATGTTCTCTCTCTCTCTCTCTCTCTCTCTCTCTCTCTCTCTCTCTCTCTCAATAGTTAATCAATGGGTTGATTACTGCAGCAGAAGGGATGGAGATTAGACATGGAGAACTTCTAGAGGATGGCACAATGATTAAGGCTGGGCAGTTGGTTCTCCTTGGAAATTCTCAGAACAGATTAGGCTCCCCAAATATTATTAGATTCTGGTTCTCTGGTGTCATCTGCTTCTACACCACCCAACTCCCCATACCCACCAGATAGAGAATTTTCCTCAAGCCAGAGTCACTTCCTGTCTCCTCTTATTACCTAGCTCTCTTCTGTCTTTTCCTCCAATGATCCATCTCCAGTCTAGAGGGTGAGAACACACCTGTCGAATTCTACCTGGGATTCCCCCTGTCTGTTCAGGGCAGAAATCCTGGTGGTGGGGATGGGGGTTGTTGGGGTGTTTGTGTGTAGCACATCCAGGCAGTAGGGAGGCATTGGTGTTCTGTCCAGAGAAATGCCCTTTAGTCTGGAATGACAGGTGCCTGGACAGCCAGGTTGAGGGTGAGAGAAGCCTGAGGGGTAAGAGTCAGTCAGTCCAGATGAATCAGTATGCCTTCCCTGCAGGCTGATTCAAAAGGCGAGTTTGAGTTGTCAGCCCTGGGGAACTTGAACTTTGGTTGCTGAGTCACAAGCCCCAGGAAGCCCAAGAGCCAAGCTTGGAGACTGAAAAGGATARGAGAAGTAGAGAGGAGACCCTGGGTCATAGCACAAGAAAGAAAGTGGTTGAGAGTAGCTTTGGGACCTTAAGAATTTAGGTGAGCACAGTGTCTGGGAAGATGGTGTAGACTTCAGGACCAGAGCTCCAGGTGTCTCACCTCCCAGCCTACTCCCTACATCTCACCGCCACTGCCTGAGTCCAGAATCTCCAGTCAGAGAAATGCTGGATCTTGTCATTTGCAGTTTTATGAAAAATGCAAGCGGGTAGAGCATGCCCAGCTCCTTTTATCATTTAACGCTTTCCCCTGCCTTCCTCCTGTTCTGAGTCTCTAACTCATGGGATTTCTAGTAACACTCTGAGATACAGACTCCACTATCATTTACTGAGACCCTCCCAATGTGCCAGAACCAATGCTAGGAATTGCGTGGAAAAATCTCAGTTAATTAGACACTGACTTGGAAACACCCATGCCCCAACTGTTTGAGCTAAAAGCAAATGCCCTTCTTTTTAAAAACTCTCAAGGCAAAGGGCCTGCTTTCTCCCTTAATACACCCACCCAAGTTAGGGTTAGGGTTAGGGTTAGGGTGACAAGCAGTTCTTCACCTTTCCTGTATCATGTGCCTTGCAGAAATGAATGATCTCTTCCCTTAGGCCAAGTTGCAGAGGGTTAGGTGTGGGGAGTGTGAGTTCTGGGCTCAAGGTAGTAAGCAGAGATATTCTAGAAAATGCAGGGACTCAATGGGAGACCCAAGCTGCCTCTTCCCTCCCAGACTGACAGCCAGCTTACCCTTGGCCTTGAGCTGCATGTGATGTTTATTCACTTTGCTAATGACTCTGGAGATGGTCTGTGATTTAGCCACCTGGCTTTGAAGTTAGTTTTTTGCAACACAGAGAATGTTTTCCCTGTGTGTGATGGCAAATTAAGTGTACAACATTTCATTAAAACAGAGTCCTGTTTCTACAATTGAATAATCAGCTACTCCTTCACTCTTCTTGCTGAAAGGAAAGAATCCTGCAAATTTTGCCATTTTTGAAGAAGGGAACAATGCCCGATCCTGAAGCACCCATGGGATGATGTTCTAACTCGGGTGTATTTTTACGCTTTAGTTTTCTTCAAGTGAGGTCTAGTATCTAGCACTTATAGTCCTAGATGGTTCTCTTCTCCCTCTGAACGTGGCAACTACAAGTGGGGAAGACAGTTTCAGTGTGCATCATCCCTTCAAGCTCTGTACAAAAGCTGCATGTTTTTCTAATTGTTCCAACTTTATCTTTTACCATCCACAGAGTCAAGGGTAAAACATATGGCTGCAAATAATTAGGACTGTCATTGAGGCATTAGGATCAGGCCAGCTTTCTTTAGGGTCTGTGTAGAGTTGTCTGAAGTTGCRGAGAGCATGGTAAGAGAAAGTCTGGACTGAGCTAGGTAGCATCTCTGCCAGTCCTGCTGAGGAGAAGGTCCTGTAAGGACTGAGCCACTAGGATCTGCAGTCAGAGGAACCTGTGACAGCAGAAGTGAGCAGGGCATCCTGATCTGGGTGCTCTAGATAGAATGACACTTTATCTCTCCCTTTTCTTTTGRAGTGCTAAACTCTTTTTCCTAATCCCCAAGGACCCACACAGAGCTTTCCTTTCACTAGTTGCAGATACAAACAGAGAAGAGGACAGACAGAAAAGAATCTCTCTGGCTTTCTCTCTGCCCCTCCCCTCCATTGCTCCAGCCTAGATCTTGGATTCAGAGAGGCTACATGTCCTGATGGGTCAGGCAGAAAGGTACAGTTACCATCTGCCAAAATGCTAATACTAATAATTGCTAAGTTAGTGTCAATGCTCTGTTAGCCATGACACATTAGTCTCCAATACATTTCTGAGTTCCTTAATGATGGGCACCCGGTCATAAAGCTTGGTGTGGCTGTAATTAGCTTGGCATTGTCTTCCCTCTTCACAGATTTACCAGGAACATTAATTCCTTCTCTGTTTGGACTCTGCTAATTATCCCCATAGGTAGTCGGTCTTGGATCTCTAAAGAAGGGAAGGACACAGTGGCCCTCTACTCCCCATTCCCCTAACCCTGCATTTTAATTAAATCCAGTTCTCCTAATGAATTTACAAGCCACAACAGAGCTTATCATTAATGTACCATGTCAGAGTCTCAGCACAGAATAGCCTCTGTTCTCCCAACAGACACACACACACACACACACACACACACACACACACACTCAGGCATATGTCTGTATGGTACTTTTCAGGGGCCACTGGTTACTTGTCTGGTGGCTGGATATTTACTGCAGGATATTTACTTTCCAGGGAAGAAGAAAGCTGGAGGTGGGGGGGGGGGAGTCATAATCCAAGTCTGCAGGACTCTGTCCAAGTTCAAGGTTCAGGCCTAAGACTAGAGGATGCCCCTGCCCCTCACCATCTTCTATTGATCACAACTTAGAAATGCTTCCCCTCTCTGTCCACACTTTGATCCTATAGTTCTTCAGTTGCACTTCCAGTGCCCTGAGATGCCTGATTCAAGAGCCTGGATCTTGGCATCAGAAAATCCTAGATTCAAATCCYACCTCTCCTTCTTARTGCAGTRTACCCTGAACAAGTTACTTAGCTAACATCTCTATCCTTAGTTTATTTATCTTTAAAAGGTGAACACCRATTTCTCTGGGAAGCTGTAAAGATTAAATGAGATAATGTAAAGGGCACAGTGTTTACTGTGTAGACATAAATAGCCTATAAAATCA